TTTTTTTCCCTTTCACAATAGCTACTGTACCTTTTGGATTTTATTTATTCTTTCAGTTTCTTACACTAGGGAAACAATATGATGTTTACACATGCAGGTCTGATTTATTTCACTTATGAGTATGGTTTTGAGTTGCATCCATTTACCTATAAAAGCCTTGAGTTTATCTTTCTTTATAGCTGAGTAATACTCCATTATATAAAAATACCACATCTTTTTTATCCATTCCTCAGTTGATGGGCATTTGGTTGTTTCTAAGATTTAACTATGACAAATTGTGCTACTATAAACATGGGTGCACATATATTGCTGTAGTATGATGTTTTTAATTCTTCTGGAAAAATACCCAGAAGGGGAATGGTTGCGTCGAATGGGACCTCTAATTATAGTTTTCTGAGGAATCTCTACACTGATTTCCACAGTGATTGCACCAGTCTACACTAGTGTAGAAGGTTTCGTTTTTCCCCTCAGCCCCTTCAGCATTAGTTATTGGTTGATTTCATGATGATAGCCATTCTTTCTGGGGTGAGATGCAATCTCAGAGTTGTTTTAATTTGTATCTCTTGAGTGACCAGTGATGTCAAACATTTCCTCATATACTTATTTGCATTTGTATTTGTTTACCTGAGAAGTGTGTATTCATCTCAGATGCCCATTTTTGGATTGGGTCTTTCAATTTTGAGGGCCTGATTTTTTAAATTCTTTATATGTTCTATATAAAAGTCCTTTGCTTGAGGGACAGTTTGCTAAATTTTTTTTCCCATGAATTACATATTTTAAAATTAGTATTCACAGATTAAAATTAGTATTCACAGATTTTAAAATTAGTATTTCTCATGAATTACGTATTTTAAAATTAGTATTCACAGATAGTTTTTGAAGAGTCTAATCAAGGCTGGAGATGGAGCTCAGCAGTAGAGTGCTTACCTAGGATGCACAAAGACCCTAGGTTCCATTAAAAAGCAAAAAGCAAAAGAAAGGCTCATAAAATCATAAATGCCCAAACTCAAGAAACAATGGACAAAAAATTAGGAAGATATGAAATAAACTGACCCAGTCCAATGAATCATTTCACAAATGAAAATAAAATCATTTCAGAAATGAAGAATAAATTATAAGGTGCCCAAAAGAGACAAGATTCTACTGAACATTTAAAAAATAGCACTGAAAAAAGGTGCATTAATCAACAGAATGAAGTTTCAGCAGGTATATAAAATTCCTAGAAAAGAATAAGATAATTATCAAAAATATATAAACTGCAAGAAATCATCCTGAAATAAAAGACTTAAATCTTTATGTTAAGAAGGCACAAGGGTAGTGATGTGACTAGAATGGTTAATTCCAAGACATACCCTAAGTAAGACTATCACACTTAAAAAAAGACAAAAAGAGCAAGTAATTTACAAGGAAAAGCTAGTTGGTTTGGACTAAAATAACTGTAAAGTAAGTTTTCAGATAAACACTAAGAGAATTCATTGTCAGGAGCCCTAAATGAAAAGAAATTCTAAAGAAGACAATTCAGACTGAGGGGAAATAATCCTTGCAGAAAGCATATAACTGCAGGGAAGAATAAGGAGCAACAAATACGATGGCTCTGTAGATAAATAAAAAACATAGTCTAATGCTGGCAATATAAAATGGTTAGGGGCTCCAAGCACAGACAGACTTTAACATGCGACAGGCATGAATGAAATGAGTATGCTCAGATTCCAGTGTCAACTGTAGTAATACCACTACCACTAAGTGAAAGTCACAGAAATTATTTTTACTAGACAATAATAAGTCAAGGGTGCACACTGTAATCTCCACAGTAACCAGTAAAGGAAACCAGTAAGAAAAAAATATGGAAAATGAAAAATAATAAAAAATAGAGTAACCCTAAAAAATCCAAAGCAAAGAAACAAAATGGGAGAAAAGATAGAATAAATGGTAAGATGAAAAATGTGACTACATCAGGAATTACATAAAATGCAAGTGAGATAAAAGACTAACTCAGGTGTGGTGGCACATCCCTATAAAACTGGCACTCTTACAGGATGAGACAGGAGGATCAGAAGTTTGAGGTTTCAGTTCAGGCTGATTAATTTAGCCACTTAAGAAAACTCTGTCTCAGCCAGGCATGGTGGTACACACCTGTAATCCCACTACTTGGGAGGCTGAGGTAGGAAGACTGATGCAAGTTTAAGGCCAGCCTAGACTACATGGCAAGACCCTGTCTCAAAAAAACCAAAAACCAACCAAACAAACATACATGCTGGGGATACAGCTTATTGTGAAGGCCTTAGTTCAACTGCTAGAACTGTAAAGGTAGACAAATAAAACTAAGCTTATCACTAAACTTACACTTTAGATAAAATGAGCCAACCCATGTGCCACTTAAATTATAACCATAGAAAGTCATAGAATGGAAAGAATATATACAATAGAAGAACAATATATACAATAGAAGAACAAATAAAGCATAAGGAAGGTATCGCAATTGCATTGTTTACTAATCTAGAGACAGACCTTCAAAATATGTAAGGCAAAAATCAAGAACTTTTAGAAAAATAAATCCATAAACATAGAGGAAGATTTTAATGTATCTCTCTTTCTCAATAAACAACAGAAAACAGAATTTTTTTCCAAAAAAAAAGAAAAAAAAAAGTAAAACCACTCAAAACAAATCAGAAAAGATGAAGAAACAAGAGGACCTAACACCACAATTAACAAACTTGATCTACTGGCAGATATAAAGGGAACAGTCTACAGTGACCATAATCTTTACAAGGGTGTCCGTAGCATTTACTAGTAAGCACAATCACAAATCACACCTTACCTATTTTCAAAGGACTGAAATGATTGAGTATGCTTCCCAACCACAGTGAAATGATGCTGCAAATCAGTATTTAAAAAGTATGAACAACTGCAACATTTTTGGAAACACAGAGCTCATTTCTAAGTCACTAGTCAAAAAGATACCATCAATGTTACCCAAAGAGCTCTACAGACTTAATACAATCCCTACCAAAATCCTAAAAGCAGTTTTTAAGGAAATAAGATAATCCATCTGAAATGTCACATAAATAAAGCCACTGTGGAAAACAGTCTGGTGGTTCCTTCAAAAATTAAAAATAGAATTACTGTACTATCTTTTCCAGTAATTTCATTTCTAGTGTACCCTAAAATAAATTAAATCCATACCTCAAAGAGGTATTTGTAGCCCATGTTCATATTCACAACAGCCATGATGCAGAAGCAACAAAATGATAGAAAATGTGTCCATTGATGGATACATGGATAAACAAAATATAATAACAACAACAATAAAAAAAGCATTTGAGCAGGGATTTGACAGAAAAGAAATCCACATGCCCAGCAGACACGTGAAAGATGCTCTATCTCCCTGATCACCAGAGAGATGCAAGTTAAGACCAAAGGGGAATGCTAGTAGACATCAACCAGAACAGCAAAAATAAAGACAAGGATACGCCAAACACGGAGCAAAAATGCAAGTCTCACTCACCACTGGACAGAATGTAAATTGTTTTAATCACTTCAGAATCGCTTTTGAAAACTGACGGTATCTACTAAAGCCAGAAGTATTATCCATAATAAGCAAATATTAACATAGCATTTAGGGGCAGTACTGGGTGTTGAGCCCAGGGCCTTGCGTAGGCTGAGCACCAGCTCTACCATGGAGATCTCCCCAGGATTAATGCAGCATTTTAAGAAGTAATTGTTACAAAATTAAGCTATGTTTCATCATCCTTTGTAGCTCTAGAGCTGTGAAATTTAAAAAAAATCACAAATTATTTTAAGTGCAGCACAACTTTTTCAGTCATGTTATTTGCTTTAAAAACAATTTATCAGTTTCCACAACTCAATAAAAACTGGAGGCATAAATACCAATGCACAATGCTTTGTCCACTCCCCCTGTGGCCCAGCCCTGCCAGGTGAGCTAGTGAAAGCCTGGCCAGCACAGCGTCACCTTTCTACCGAGGTTCATGTTCTCCATCTTCGCCTTGAGCAGCTTCATCTTATTCATAGTTATTGAATTTTCAATGGTCTTTTGCCCCGAAGGAGAAGGCTCCACCTCCTCTTCCTCATCTGTACACAAATTGTACATAGAACCACTGCTGCAAAGAAAATGAAAATGACTTGAAGCTTGCTCTACACCTATCCACCCAGGAGTAAGCTCTACCCCAGTGGCAGCTGCAGAGGCTGCCAGGGCAAACCCGTGCTGTCAGTGTGAGTCTAAGGAAGATATATTTTGGAAAGTTCTTTGTTGGGAGAACAGACTAAAGGGGATGGATACTGTGGTGAAGACCTAGTCAGCTATGCTCTGAAATCAGTGTATCATAGGCAGAGATCTTTTGGCACCTGCTTCTGTCACTCAGGAAGAGGCAAAATCCATGTCTGCGAGAATGTTTAGCAAAGGCTGTAAGTACACAACCTAGACCACAGGCTCATCAGATTTCCATGACCCAGAATGAAAAAGAAATCGTCACAGCAGAGAAGTACCAGGTCATATGCATCTGAGGGCCTCACACCAGAGAAAGGAATTCTGACACCAATGTTATCAGAACATTCTCTGTTCCCAAAGGATATTAAAAAGGGACAACAGAATTTTTCTAAGTGTGTTTAGAACGTAATCACCTAGAACAGCATGGATTTGAACACAACAACATCCATAGTAGTCAAGCCTTGGCAGATGGTATTATTACATGTTATACTTTTTCACCTTTTGTATTTTATTAGTGCATACAGTTATCCAGAATAAGAGGTTTGGCTTTAGCATGTTTGTACATGCAAAGAACATACTTTGAGTACTTTTACCTTGTTATCCCCTGCCCTTTCTATCCCCATCCTCTTTCTGTTCTCTAATAGTCTCCTTTTCTAATTTCTTGCATTTTTTCTCTATTTGTTTTATTTTATTTTGGTACCAAGAATCGAACTCAGGACTCTGTGCTTGCCTGGCAGGCACTGTACCACTGAGCTATATCCCCAGCCCCTCTCTGTTTTAGATTCCACATTACGTTTCTTATTAGTATGTTTGCAATACATAAGAATTGCACTCATCTGAGGGAATTAGTACACATATGTACCATATCTTCATCCTTTTTACTTCCCTTTCCCCTCCTTCCCCTCTCCAGACGATCTATTTCCTTGTTTCCTGCCATCTTTTATTTTGCTCTTTATTTATATTTGGGGTTTCTCATATAAGAAAAGTACATGATATTTAGCTTTCAGTGTCTAACTTGTTTCACTTAGCATTACGTCCTCAAGGTGTACCCATTTCCCTACAGTGCCTCAACTTCACCCTTCTTTATGCCTGAGCAGTTAGATTCCACACACTACATTTCAATTACTGATTAACCATCACGACATTTTTTTACACTTCCAAGAAATGTTTGGGGCCTCTTCTCTTTGCGTACTAGAATGACACTCCGCACATGACCTTCGCATTTATACTTACATGTCTGTTTCCCTTGTATAAAGCACATGCGAGGCTTTACACATCCTCCTCGTATTTCCACCTGGCAATAGTGCTTGACATACAGCAAATAAATGTTTGATGAAGTGAAAACAAACATTACTAAAATCTCAGTACATTTCCAATAATGAGAAAATCAGAATGGAAAATGAGTATGGTAAAGGTTTGTAAACAACACAAGCTCACTGCAGTGGCTACCCACTGACAATGCAACGGTGAAAGTCTCAGTAGCAGAAACCTCCCTGGGCCATGCTGCCCAACTCCTGCTGACCGTCAGAAGACAACAGAGCAGCACTGACCAAACCTACACAAGACAAAAACATACACTTGACATAGGGCCCATTCATTCTTCCCAAGGAGCCCTGACCCACCTTCTCTAAAAGTTAATGTGTTTAAATTTCTATCTGAAACTAAAAGGCCTTCTGTGAGCCCTCAAGGAAATGGTCTTGTCAAATTGCAACTTTCAACATACAATTTTAGACACAGTGTAAGTGTTCCTGGAAGCTCTATAGGGTGGTAGATATTCTAGAAAATGATATTCTTTAGATAATTAATTATATTTGTTGCCTAGACTGTTTCTACATCCTTAAATTCTCATAACAATCCTAATTTATCACCCTGAAGGCATGCTTCCTCTCTTGGAACTTGCCTGCTGTCCCTCCTGACAGTGTACTCTGACCTGAAGAAAGCCTTACATTACTCTTATCCTTGCCTTGGTAAATTCTTTCTTATTACGTGCCTCACTGGTCATTCGTATGCTGTCTCACACAACACTCAGCTTATTTGGAGAATAAGTCAGACTTTAAACAGAGCAGAATAAGGATACTAATCACTGCACCTGAAGTACTTACAGGCATAGTAAAGCATGTAGCTATACTACAGAGGCATGAGGTATAACATTTCCTGTTCTGGGTGGTCGTAAGACATGGGGACAGCCCAGGACACACAAGGCACATTCCATAATGGTTCTGAAGCACGTGCCACCAGCACAGGGCAGCGCACACAGCGGACGTCCTTAAGTTTTCTGAGGTGAAATGGATGATGTTTTGTGACTGTGAGCTAATTAAGTGCACAGCAGGCATGAGTGTCAGAAGGGATAATGCAGGAACTGATGGGCAACTTCTACTGCTACCCAGTGTAGCCGCCCAGTGATAAGGATGCCTGTGCACGAGAATCAGCACCAGCAAAACTGCCTGTTGCTACCAAATGCCTACTCTGCCAGGTACTTTCCACATATTTTCCTGGTACAACTACAGAAGATGGATATTGTACCCCATTTTAAATGAAGAAACTGCAATAGAGAGGTTAAGTGATTTGTCTTGAGACCAGAAAGTCAGTAGACAGAGTGCCTAAGATCCAAGTGCCCCTTGGTGTGGTTCCAAAGCTGATTCTTTCCACCACTTCCTGTTGCTTTCCCAGGTATCAGACCATAGCTTAACTGCAGCATGTTGTGCCCCACAGTGACAAAACTTATAGCTTATAGTACGTGATGGGTGGTTGCCTTTGTCTCGAGGTCAACCACACCTGAAAAGGAGAGCAACATGAAGTATGTCAGTTGGTCTGGTGGACTAGAAGGAACGTCTCATTATACCCTCATCTCAGTTACCTGGCATTATTTTTTAAATTTTAAATATTTCTCAGGTACCCTGTGACATTTTAAGTTTATTTTTATCAAATTCTGAAAGGAATTTTGGACTTAATTATTAACATACTGAAAAGACTTATTCTCCTATAGAATATGTGCATTAAAAAAGAACAATCAAGATAAATATTTCATTGGATGCATTTTAAAGGATAAAAACACCTTTAAATTCCTCATTTTTTTCTAACAATCACAGCATTATCTTTCAAAAACTATGGATTCATGAGCTCACTTAAAAGGCAATTAAAGTTTTTTTGGACGGAAAAATGTTATTGGACTGGGATAACATGGTGATTTATAAACTTTTTCCAAAAATATCATTATAAATTTAAGTATTCTAATACTTACTGAATTTCTATACATTTTCTTTCCTTTCTCTTCTTCTCCTGCTCTTCCTCCGTCCCCTCCCCCTCCTTGTTCTTCTTCCTTCTCCTCCTCCTTCTTCCTTCTCTTTCTCCGTCCTCCTCCTCTTTCTTTTTCTTTTTTGAGACAAGGGTTTCACTATGTAGCTCAGGCTGACCTCAAACTCATGGCAATCCTCCTGCCTCTGCTTCCCAAGTGCTGGGATTACAGAAGTGTACCACAATGTTTGGCTTTCTACATATTTTCCTGAGTATTACACATAATTTTCTCTAAACATTTTAGTATAATAATTTAATATGATTAAAATAATTTAATATGGTTAAAGAATAAGAGATAGGCAAACATAGTATTTATTTCAATAGGAATATTATGCATTCCAAACCTAAGACCTAATTTGACTTTCACAGACAAGTTACTATTTAAGTCTTGCAATGTCTCCTACCATCTTCTAAAAAAAACCAGAAAGGTAGTATGATTCATAAAAATATTTGAGACTCAAAAAGACTGATGCTGCATTTCACATCACAATGAATCAAACACCTAATTCTGTTTCTTCTTAAAGCAGGCATCAGCAAAGTACGGCCATGGGCCACAGCAATTCACAGGTCTACATATTGTTTTCCTGCTTTTGCACCATAGTGGCAGAGGTAAGCAGCTGACAGTGACTGCATGTGGCTCTCTCACTGCTATGTGGCTGGCATGAAGGGACCCTGCCTGCGGTCCAGAGCAGTGGCCCTTGCTGTGTGCATCTTCTCTCCTGTAGCGCACACACCCATGCCAACTAGATCTTGACACCTTTGATAACAGTCACCACCCACTGTCAGTCTGTTTTCTGTGGCCACCAGCAGAGTGTGTGCTCTCTTCCACATGCACTCTGTGGGTCTCAGAGTCCTAAGGGGATCTGTGACTCCAACCTCTGGTGTTTGGATCCATAGTCTACCCTTAGGTGTAGACATGACCATCATAGGCCTCTAGCCAGTGGAATAAAAGTGAAAGAGACTTTGCAGATCTAATTTAGCCCCCAAATCAGTTCATTTTGAGTTAATCTGAAATAGAGCAGAGAGCTAGGCATGGTGGGGATACCTGGAGTCCCAGCTACTTGGGAGGCTGAGATGGGAGCGCTGCTGCAGCTCAAAGGCTGGAGATGACCTGGGCAAGAGCAACATGGTCTCAGAAACAAAACAAAACAAAACCATAAACAAGGGAATTGAGGACAGCCTTTAGCAAACAGCCAGCAAAACCTGGAGCCTCAATCTGAAAGGAAATGAATTATACAATGTGAATGAGCTTGAAAACAGATTCTCTTTCCAGTGCAGCCTCCAGGTGAGAACACATCCTGCTGACAGTGGCAAGCAGCCTGTGGCTCCCCAAGCTCTGGACTCTGCCCCACAAACTACAAGCTCTTTTGTCTTTAAGTAGTTTTACCTATTTATTTATTTGTTTTACTGTAGCTACTCAGAATACTTTTCCTTCCTCTGTCTTCCTTGCAAACTCCCTCTGGTTTCCCTCTCCTATCTCTTCTCAGAGACTGTCCCTAACTGTCCATCCTCAGGTAAAACGGACATCTTCTCCACTACTTTTCCAGAGATCTTGGTATCTTGTTACCAGTGCCCCGCTACAAAAGTTCAGTAAATGTTTAGTGACTGAAAGCGAATCACAGTAAATTGGAATGCACAGAAACTTAGAGGTTAACATGTCCAGTTTTCCTATTCCTATTGCCTACCTGACCCTTTTAGGATTTTTCATTTGATTTTAAAAGTTTTAATTTATGTCCCTTTTACAGAGTAGGAAAATAAAGCCATAGAAGAGATTTATCACTCTTGTGGCAGAGTTCAATTCTGAAAAAAGATCCAGTGATAGGCTTAACCCTTTCAACTATGTCAAAGTTAAATGCCATACTATTATCGCAAGACTGTTATCTAGGAGACATCTTAATAGTTTTACAAAGTAATAGAAACAAATATCTTTTACAAAAAACTCTTACTCTGTAAAGAAACTATAGTTTTAGAGATTACTCTAAATGTCAGTCATACAAAGAATTAAATATAAGGGGAAGGCAGGGAGAACTGCATAAAGTTTAGTTTGTTAACATACTAAGCTTACTTTATAACACAAAGTAAACATAAGGGTATATGGAGTGTATCATACGATACTCTCTTTTCCTAGGTGAGATACACAAATGAAAACCTATTTACCTTAAAGATTCAGATAATGGTGTTAAAGTGCCATCTCCCCTATCTACTACACGAAAGAAATTCAACTGATCTCCTTCCCGGTAAACCAAGAACGTGACTTGTCTGCTGCAGGAGGCCTTCTCCCAGACCTCATCTCGCCTGGGGTCCATGCACTCGGCCATCTCCCTAAGCGGGTCTTCCGTGGGAACTAAAGTGGAAAAATTAACAGAAAGCTTTCAATTTACAGCAAGTTTTGGGCATCTTGTACAGTGACAGGACATAATGTGCTCAACTGAGCAACCACCTGTGCATATACATGCTATTCTCTAAGTATGTTTCTGGTCTCTACAGTTCATACAACATTGCCTATATTGGGCTTATATGAAAGAAACAAAATGCATCATTATGTTGACCACAATGAGGATTTTCTTTTCCTGCACCACCAGAGTCTGTATATCTGCTAATTTTAGGGCATTATTATCTAAGATTTTCCCACTGGATACCTTCTGCTTCCTACATTTTCAAGTATTGTTTTCAATGATTAACAAAAATTAAAAATAATACAAATGCCACTAACTTTAGAATAAAAGGTAAACACATACAGTTGAGACATATGTAAAGAATTAGAAGGAAGGGAGGGCTGGAAGTGTAGCATAATAGAACACTTACTTACATCCCTAATGCCCTGGGTTCATTCCTGAGCAGCAGAACAAAAGCAAAACAAAAAAACTTAAAACAGCAGCAGCAGTGGCAACAACAAACCTCTTTTTCTTTCTGCTTTTATATAAATGCTGTTTCTTCTCAAACCTGTTCCTTGACGTGAAGCTGAGTAACAGGATACAGTGACTCAGCACACAGGGGCTGATGCTGTACTAAAGTGCAGAATGTGAGGTGGTCAGTACGTTCTTTTGGGTGAGGGTCCTCTCAGGGTACCCTGCTATCCTGCAGCATAGATGTGTGCGATCAGAGTGTAGAGGTATCTGGGTTGACTGAGGCTGTTCTGACACCACACAACTTGCAGGCTCTGGAGCTCCAGAGCTGTCCTCAGGCTTGAATGACACCGTAGCCATCATGACAACCTGCTTGCAACCATAGCAACCACTGACTTTACCCCAACGGTGGAAGTGGACATTAGGAGATTGCTGCTTATAGGATAAATGCACCAGGAGGCCCAAATTCAGGTCTGGGGAGTCCAAGTAACAATGCTGTAGAAAACAAAAAGTTCTCTCCAAAGACATCCCTCTGCCCAGCTGCAGAAACACTGTTTCTCCTAAAAGAAGCAATAGTTTTCCAGTGTGCATAACTTTCCTTCACTTACAAACCAATCACAAGCATATCCTACCCTTTAAAAAGAAGTACTACCCAGAGAAAAACACCAAACTCTGAAAGGAGTAAGGAAAAATCACCCAAGATGTTCCTGTATCCTAAATTCACAACCCACAAATTGTAGAAATGAAGTAAGATTTGTTTTGTGAAATAATCATTTGAATGATTTGATTTACTTAGATATAAAATGTATAATTATTAAAGGACAATTTTCAGGTAAGTTCTTGCCCTTTTAAAGTGAATGGTCTACTTTCCACAGGAAATGAATGAGTAATGAAAATGATGATGCCAGATGCTAGGTTTTGCCACTGCTGTCACTACATGCACATGAGGGCCTCTTCTGAGCAGCACAGGACCTTGCTAAGGAGGCCTGGGCTACTGCTGTACATGTGTGCACATGTACATGTGTGTGCATGTGTGTACTTGTGTCCACACACACCTTTCATTTATTTCTGTTTCAGAAAAGTCATTTAGACTTCATCAGCTACATAACAATGCACACGTAGCTAGGATGTAATTTAATTTTAGAAAGAAAAGCATTTTTAATGGTATCTCAAATTTTAAAGCTAAGTATTACTGGAACACACATACTAAAGATATTCTCTGAACCATGGTTTTAAAATAATAAGACTAAATTAGCTTTAAAAGTATGGGTTCTCAAATATAATATGGGAAAAGCTGCTAAATATGGGTGAAATTTTTCTTTTTCACAAAGTTTTAAATGATTTACAGTGGGCAATATCAAGCCTTTAATGTTAAAAAGTGTATTTAACAGAGGCAAATTTATTTTAAAAATTTTATTTTATTTTATATTCATCTTTCTGAGACAAGGTTTCACTAAACAGTTCAGGCTAGCTTTGAACTCACTTTGTAGCCTAGAATAGCCATGAACTTGCAGTGGTCCTCCTGCCTCAGCCTCCCAAGTGTTGGTATTATAGGCATGCACCACCTTTCTTGGCCTAACAATTTTAAATATTAAAAATTAAGTGCTAGGTAATAAGTGTGCAAAATCATTTTACTCCTAGTACAAAAAATTAGGTGTTCTAAGTAAACACAACGGTTTAAGGCCAGTACTACACACAAATAACCAACTTTCAAAATCATAGCAAATGTCATTAAACATTTCATAATTCTATCTTAATGTAATAGATCAGTATACACTTAGGGTTCTTGCACTGCTCTCAAAGTCATCACTATAAACACTACCCACATCACACAAAAGCATTTTTTCAGTCAGAGACTCCTTGTCCCTAATTTGCTCTAATATGATTATTGTGTTTTCACTAACCTATGCTAAACAGTGCAACAGATCTCACAAAATCCCCTTGAAGTAGCGAGGGAGATGGTAATAATCCTATTTTAAACCAAATTTGCAAAGCACAAGGATATTTTTTGACATGTGGCAGTATGCCAGCAGTGGACTCAATACTTAATCTTCAGTTTTCTGGTTTGTGAAGAACCAAACAAATCTGAAAGCCTTCCCCAACATGAGGTCCACAGAGCAGCTGCCTCACATGGTGGGGATTTCTGTGACATCGTTGAACTAAGAGGCCAGGTGAACACTCCTGGCTCTTCTATGCTTAGAACCTTCTCATCAACCAAGTCTCCACCCACATCATGTTCTCCAAGGACCCTCCCTCCCGCCCCACTTCCACAGACATTGTCACATTATCTTGTCTGTTTCCTGTACAGCACTTCCAACCACGTGGAATTAGTCATTCTTTACAGTTATTCACTGGAGGCAGTGTCACAGAGCACAGACTGTCACCCCACGTTCACTGTACTCACACCTCATAGATGGTCACCATATCCACACTCTGAGAAAGGATTTGAGAAGGCCATGAAAACATCCATGAAACCCAGATGCATCATAAACCAGGTAAGTAAATGGGCAACTTTGACATTTTCCATAGCAATCACTATTCCAGGAATTGAAAACTCAGTAGAAAAAAAAAAGCAAAAGGATTGGTATGAATCTAAATGCAAATCATAACATTATTTATACTACGTTATTCCATTTGCCTTCCCTTTAATTGCAGAGATTTACTTCTAAATCTTGAATTGAATCAGGAGTCATGAAATCTTCTGGAATACATTTAAAAGTTCAGGTCTTTATGTATTTAGGTCTTACAGAATAATCCCAGCAAAACAAATAAGATTCTTCTAAGACCTAACAGCAGAAAGGGAACTTGACTTAATTGGAGGCTATAAAATTGCTAATTTAAAGAATGTTATTGTCAACTTGCTTGAAGAACAATTGTCAAAGTGCTTTAATGCATGCCTACCTTTTCTAGTATTTATAGGTCCACCACGCATGGCCAAAACCAGCTTCAAAGTACAACCTTCTGAAATGCTGTGAACAGTTAACACAGAAATAATCTATAATCGTGAAAACATATTCAATGTTAAATGTAACACATATGAAGTGCTGGTTTACTAGGCATAGTACCTATTTTCCAAACTACAAAAAGGCACGGCAACATGAATAAATTTAAAATATTAATATTTACCTGTATAAATAACAAAAAAGATAAAAGGTTCCTTACACATGATATGAAACCCCAGAATAAATGCACCGGAAAGGACCTCTGTGATCTGTGCCTCTTCATCCCATATGTGAGGAGAAGGAGGCCTAGAGAAGAGAGAGGCTTGCCCAAGCCCACAGAGCTGGATGAGAGCAGATCTGCTCACTAGAGCAGAAAACAGCAAATTGGCTGGGGTTGGTCCCCAGGTTCTGCATTACTCTCATCCTTTTACTTTTTTCTTATGGAAAGAGTGATGAACTCTGTGAGAGTAAGGAGCAGGAAAGAAGTCCGGCAGTGTGTCTGGACCCAGTGGTGCACACAGCACTGCTCAGTGACTGAAGGAGGGCTTCAGGAGGAAAGTTTCGGTGGAGAGCAGGCCTCTTGTGCCAGAATTCTCCTGCAGATGGACAGGAAAGAAGCAAGGCAGACAGGAATACGTCAGTGTTCAAAGAGAGAAGCAAAGGGGACAAGAGGTTAACAGGAAGATATAAAAAGCAGAGAGGAACAGTTTAACATGAAAAATAATAAAATGTAAGCATCAGAGCGCAAGGAAGATTCAGGGAACAATGATGAGCACTAAGCCAACAAATCTACAGTTCAGAATTTACAATGAAATCTGGAGTTGGGGCTTTCATCCAAGGATTAAGAAGAAAAACACTGGCCTATAGATTCATTGTTCTGAGCACCTATAAATAGCTAATACACAATTACACTCACTTGTAATCATTCAAGCAATAATCATCTTCAAGTTCCACGTTATTCCAAATTAAGTGCTGCTGACAGATGGGGATACCTTAGAGGAAGGTGATAATAAAGAGTGTTACAGAATTCAAAAGCATCTCCAAAAGAGTGTAGTATAAAATTACTTCACTAAAGCACTAGGAGTGCTGACAAACACTTCTGAATTGAATGCTAGGTACTTAGCTAAAATTTATAGAATTACAGGTAAAAGCATGGTTAAGAGTAGACAACATCTAATCTATTCACTTTTCAAGAGTGTTTCACTAACTCTCTGCCCCTAGAAAAAAATATAAATAGCCCTATAAAAGATAAACTCTCATGACTAACCCCTGAGGAGTTTAAGATTTAAGGTCTAGCAGATAGTTCTAAATGCTGCAAGCTAGTCTGCATTCGGTTTTATTTATTTTAAATTCAGTGACAAAAGTATATTAACAAATTTCAATGCTGAAAATCAGTCTACATTTTCCTTATATTTCTGTGCTGCTAAAGAATAATAAGGCAGATTCTATACTCTAGCATAATATTCTATTTTTGAACACATGTGCTGGCATTTATTACATAAGCCAGGGACCTTGTATGCATTTGATCTTTGTTATCATAATTCAGCTGCAACAATCACCCTGTGAAGTGGCAGCACTACAATCTGAACTTCACAGGTGCTGACACTCAGGAACGGAGGGATGAAGTGACACCGTGAGAGTACAGGTGTGATCAAACGGTAAGTTTCACATTTTAAAAATTTACTACAGGAGGGGCTGGGATTTAGCTCAGTGGCAAAGCGCCTGCCTGGCAAGCGCAATGTTGTGAGTTCGGTTCCCGGTACCGGAGAAAAACCAAAAAAAAAAAAAAAAATTTACTACAGGAAAAGACACATCTGTCATTAATCCCCCATTTTCCCTCTAGCTTTGAATGCATCACTCTTGCCACTTTCTGAAGCAAATCTGGAAGTTCTCTTTCCTGTCTTTAGTCAAGCTGTTGTGGCTGGTTTGATGTCCAGAATGTACTTTAAACATTTACATTTCATGGTTATTTTGACTTTAAGAAAAAGCCAGAAGTCACAGATTCACTGAATAAGGGGGTTGAAGACACACTGTGATGTTTTTATCAGACAGGAACTGCCTTAGCAGAAGCAGTGTGTGACATGATGTGTTTCCGTGATGGAGATGAAGCTGCCCATTTTTAAGGCAGTTTTCTGTGCACATTGTTTCTTACATGCTCCAACAAGTCCTTAAAATACTCAGAGTTCACCATAGAGTTTTTAAGTATGAATTCAACTCTCACAATTCCATCAAAGTAAAAAGCACACTTAACATTACTTTGATTTTGGATATTGACTGGCACACTTTTTTTACATGAGGAGAACTGGGTGATTTCCATTGAGAACTCTGAAGTTTAGTCTCAGGATCATAAACACAGACCCAAGTTTCATCTCTCATGATGACATTTCTTAAAAAGCTGGAATATAAAGTGGCATAATTACGTAATTCCAATGAAACTGAAAACATTTCATGTTATTTGTTGTCCATCCATGTTTTACAGCACACCTTCTCTCAACTATAGCTTACAACGGACTGAGTGCACCAAACAAGTTGAAATTTGGCACACACTGCTATAAGGGCCAACATGCCGCTTTCCATACCCTGCCTTTCTGCTGGGTGGCATGTGTCAGCCGCATTTACCGTACGTTTTGATCACACTTCATGTGGCAATGGGAGACTGAAGCTACTAACAGAGACTGCATTCAATTTTATCGTGATTCATCTCTAGAATAATGGCCTCCGCAAAGCAAAAGCAGCTGTCTGAGCAATGCACTTCCATGGTATTGGCTGCTCAGACACCTGAATTTACCAAAGCTCAGTAAGTTTCCTAAAAGGGCATCATGAACTACACTGAGGCTTATGGGGCAGGTGTCCACGCCTGTGTCTTCCATATAGAATAGTTCATTTCTTTTGCTTCTAGCTAAAAAAGAAGCCCAGTAAGGAAAGGTTTTTAAGCTATATATTTAAGCTAAACACACATTGCTTTGTACTACTAGGTAGTACTCCAAGATATGCCTGTCATAATCAATTGATTTGTGTAAACTTTGAATAAGAGATTTACTCATCTATCCAGTTTTTCATATAATAAACAAAGTTGTGATTATGAACGTTGTCAGAATCAAAATGGAGTTGCTCTGTGTCAAGCCTAACAAAAACTAAATGAATAGAGCCAGGAGGCAATGAAGGAAGTTTACAATGGCTAATAGTAATGATCACCACAGAGGCCAAAAGCATAGCCCTGCACAAAGGCTACCAGGCCTTACCTACCTGGGAAATAAATACCTTACGAGGATATCTGCACAGCAACTGTCTGTTCAAGCGAGAACCCTTGGTATTAATCCTTGTGGCCATAAATTATAATTTCAAAATGTTTTATGGAATCCTTCTCATTTTGCCTTTAAAACTTCCCCTTCCCTCACCCTCTCTGAATATGTACATAGTTTACTACAGACGTGTATTTCCATTGCAGTGCTTTGCTACTCCTAAGTAAACAATTTTCAGAAAATCTCTATTTCGGTTTGACATGATACATTGGATACATGAATGTGCAAGTATTTGAGAGTGTGTATGTGCGCACACACGTGCATGTTGGTCTGCTTGGGCTGCCACAACAAAATACCCCAGGTTGGGCAACTTAAATAAGAGAAGTACATTTCTCACAGTTCTGAAACCTGGAAGCCATAGATCAAGGTGTCAGCTAGGTTTTTCTGTGAGCCTCTGTCACTTGGCACATAGGCAGCAGCCACCCGACTGTATACTTACAACTGACTATGGAGTCTTCTTTGTGTGAGGGCAGACAGGGCCGGAGCTCCCTGATGTCTCTTCTTATAAGGACACCAATATCATGAAGGCCCCACTTAATGACATCATGTAATCCCATTCACCTCCCAAGGCCCCATCCCCAAATGTTATCATATGGGGGGTTAAGACAGGATCACAAAAGTCTGCAGGAGCGCACGGGGATAAATATTTGGCCACTGCAAAGTGTGTGTGCATCCACATTATAATGAATCAAATGTTTCTTATGTATTTTTAAGGGAATAAGGGGGAGAAGGGTGGGATGGGCAAGGGGGGAGTCATGGGAGGGTGGAAATAAAGTATCTCATGTGCATGTGTGAGTACCCCAAAATGAAAGCTGTTATTCTGTATAATTAACATGCATTAAAAACCCAACAAAATCACAATTTAACAACGTTTCTTGTCTCTTTTAGAATTTGCGGACATGTATTGAGAACATATTCACATGTGCGTTAGAATAAACCATATAAGCAGAATCAATTGAGCTTTGGGTAATTAAAAACAAAGGTGGACCATAGCTCCCATCTCCCTATTTCCTTCTACAACAATTAACAACAGTATGGAGGAAAATGAGTCTATATAGAAACCCTGCCCTCATAACTTGAATACAGAGAAATGTCCAAATTTCAAATTAGCTATTGAAAACGGGTCAACTACCCCATGCCAGTGCAGGGCCAATCATACAAATCCATAAGTTGGGCACAGAGAGGAACTAAGACTGTTCCTATGCACAGTATAAATCTTTCACCAGGAAGACAAAGGGCATTCTGAGTATGAAAGTTCACAGAAAGGATTCAGGTGGCTTGGAACACTCACCACAAGGAAGGAACCTAAAAGACATGTGATGTGAAGGAGCATCTGCTTTCACTGTGCATGAGTCAGGGGCATGTGGGAGTCTGGTGTGACAGAACACCACAGACGAGGTGCATGCAGTACATTTACTGCTCTCAGGCTGCAAGCATAGTGGCCCAGGAGTCACTGCCAGGCTGTCCCCACATTTCAGGAATGCTTCTTGGTCACATGGAGTGTTGACTATATGAGCCTAACCTGGACTGGAGATGAAGGACCCATAAAGCAGCCTGTTCTGGGGTTTTAACTTGGGGTCCAGTGACACACTGGCTGGAGCAGTGAAGGACATCCCATTTCTAGGGAGGACTGAAAGGGAGCCTGGGCATCCCAACCAGTCTCTCTGTGTCTCAGGGTACTGCACACCCCACACATCTTATAGCAGATTCTTGAGAACTGCAAGAGAGAAGGGAAGGACCTGAGTGGGTCCAAGGCTTCCAGGACCTTCCTGCATGCCCTTCAGTGACTCATTGGTCAGAGGGAAGGAAAGGGTATGAGACAAAAGAGAATTGTAAAACTGGGGATTTATATCACTGAACAAACATAACATATCTATTGGAAAATAGACACTGTTATGCTGCCAGAGAATGCACTATCACACAATCCTGGAAAATACTCCAAGATCACAAAAACAAGCAAAACAAAAATCAACCAACCCACAGTTAATGTTAAAAGCTAGAAAATGAATTCCATGTATACATCAACCAAGCAACATTTCACTCAGAAAAATTACCATGAGGCAGGAGAAAACTATAAGGCCACATTTCTATTACAGTTGCAAATAATCAAGCATTTGAAGATACAAAAAAAAGCTTTATATCAGAAATTTAAAAATTAACAGAAATTAGGTAAAAGGAGATATACAAAATATAGAAAAAAATGACAGTAAGAACCTAAGGAATACAATGAAATAAGTTATCAGAAGAAAATTCACAGCAGTGAACAAAGGTAAAAGAATGAAAATAAATTTCCACCTAAAAAAGGTGTTTTCCTCAGAACAGAATTTTGTAAGTGCCTAAATCCTCAACCAATAGGGGAATGTCTACATAAAGTACAGGAATAGCACTTGCTATACCATTATGTATAGTAAACAGTAAACATGCTTGAAAGGGCTCATCATTTTTCTATAATAAAATAATTCATAAATTATAATAAAAAAGGAAAAGAACCAAGTAAATCAAAAGAATGAACAAGGAAAATAGCACTAAAGACAGAAGCAGAAAATATAAAAGCAGTAATAAAATTTAAACATTAATAAAGTAAACTATTAGCTAGCTATCAAGAAAAAACATGAATACATAAAATAGGAAATAGCAAGGAGATACTATCTTACTAAATGATAGACAAATGAAATTTTTAAACTAGAAAGCTTACCCCGATAAATTTTTGTGCAACTGGAGGATGTTATTCAAGAATAACATCACAATAAACAGTGCAATGCCCAGGTGGAGTCAGCAAACCTCAAGGAGACAAAGTAAAAAATTCAATAAAATAGGATATAAAATAAATATGCAAATATAAATACCTTTCAAATTTAAAAAGCCAGTAAAGGGCTCAAAGGTAGGGAAAATTTCTTTTGCAATAGCATTAAAGATGATTTAATAGCTAATAATACACTGGGCTTGGTGGCGCACACCTGCAATCCCAGCACTCAGGAGGCTGAGGCAGGAGGATCACTGCGAGTTTGAGGCCAGCCTGGGCTACAAAGTGAGCTCAAGGCCAGCCTGAACAGCATTGCGAGACCCTGTCTCCAAAAGACCAAAAAAAAAACAAAAAACAAAAAACAAAAAAACTTAGTAATAAACTTAATATCTGTTCAACTCTCTGCAAAAAATTTAAATACATTTACATAAAAGTAAACTCGAAAAAACAGAAAGATTACTTTTTGTCAGTTCTGCCTAAATTTAATCCAATCTTACTACAATGACCAGATTTTTAAAAAGAGGTAAGCGATATGTGTACTAAAGTTAAGTAGAAAAACAAACATGCAAGAATAGCCAGAAAAAAAAAAAAAACCCAAAAAAGAGAAAATCAACGACTACGCATCCTACCAGACATAGAAATGTACCACCAAGCCCCATGATGAGAGGTTGGTACTGACTGATATACAGGAAGCCCAGAAATAGATCCAAGCACAGAGCATAATGGTAGGATCTCAAATGACCAATCCCTGAATGATCTTTTTAAATAAATTTTTAAATAAGGTGCTAGAATCAATAGGTAGTCACATTGGAAAAGACAAAATTAGATCCATATCTAATACTACCATACATAAGAACAAACTCCCAATAGATTAAAAATGTAAATGTAAAAAAAGCAAACTATACAAGTAACAAAGTAAGACAAGGAACGATTTCTCTTTACTGTAGGGAAAGGCTTTCTAACTACTAGTTGAAACGTAAAAGGCAACAAAAGATTGATGAATTTGCCTTAAAAATTTTTGTATGTGAAAAATAGTTCTTAACTGCATAAGAAACCCACATAAACAAAGTCAAAAGACAACTGTGAAAACAGGAGAAAATATATGTAACTTGTAGCACAGACCAAAGGCTAATGTGCCTAATATATAACAAACTCTTACAAATTATAGCAGAAAGACCACAATTTAGTAAAAGTGGGCAAAGATGTGAACAAATAATTCACTATAAAATGTACAAAATATCCCTTAAACATATGAAAACCCTTTAATACACTCATAATTGCAAAGTCCACTTTAAAACAACACATTAGATTAGCAACGATTTGGAAGTACGGCAGCACTCTCTGCTGGCAAGGTATTTTCTTAACACACTGGGAAGACAAGTGCTCCAATCACTCTCAAGAGGAATCTGAGGACACACCTCACAGAACCATACATGCAGTCACTCACCTCTTGGCCCAGCAATCCCAGTGGTCATCTTCCCTGAAGATATGCTTACAATGTACAAAATCACACACAGGATCATCTACTGTAGCACCATTTAAAATGGGAAAATACTGGAAACCACCTAAATGACACACATAGAAGAATACTAGCTAAACCATGATACACTCACGCAATGGAATTGTACAGACATAAAGAAAAAGTGCTGTACTCTGCCTTCCTCCCTTGGAGCTAGCCAACTAAAAATGTGAACCAAAATAAACTTCTCTTCTTTGAAGTTGTGAGTTGGATACGTTGACCCTGAGATGCAAAACATTTCTAACACAATCATACACCATGATGAATCTTGAAAACATTATGCTAAGTCAAAGAAGCCAGACCAAAAAAAAAAAAAATCACATACTATGTGATAATAGTTGTATAAAATGCCCTTTCTTGTCTCTGTCCATTTTCTCTCCTTCCCTCCCCCCAACTTCCT